TGCTCCCTTCTCCGGAGACTTCCCCAAACAAGTCTGCCAGTCTGGAGTCCTGGGTTTCATTTCATAAACAGGACATAAAACCCAAGTGCAATTCAAGGTACTGTCACCGCCACATAGGCTGCGGTGCTAATCAGGAAAGCTTTCTGAAATGTTCCCTAGCCTCTTTCTCTCCAGAGAGACGCCTGATTTTTAGGCCAGGCGTCCTTTGAAGTAGGCACAAAATATAAACAAGCAGCAGCAAAATGCCAGAATCCCAGGCAAAGGGTATACATTAGTCATGGCGAGGCTAGGAAGGAAGGGAAGGGCAGCTGGCCCCAAGAATCTGGTGTCTGTGCTGCTCCAGTTACCACATCTCAGTAACCAGGATTGCCCAATCCTTTAAAAAGACACAGGCATCCTTCAGATAATCATTTAACTCACACCAGTTTGTTTATTCAACAGCAACTCTAAACATAAGCTCCTCTTCTAAACTCTCTTTTCAAAGTTTCCAGCCTGTCTGGATAAAATATTTGGTGAGGATTCCACTAACCGCAGAGATGAAACACCTGACAGCGGTAAAAGCAAGCAACCTCACAGAAGCGTACGTGTGTGTCGGTTTAACAGATGAAGAACAAATACAGGGATGAACGAGAATCAAATCCTCAAAGGTATTCAGCTGCCTAAACACCTCTGAAGATGTAGAATCAATTCACTTCTCCAGATCACACAGGGAGCGTAACAGAGCAGAGACTTGAATCCAGGTTCTTGGATTCAAAAACACCTTTCTAACTTTCAGGTTCTATTACAAACCTCCATCACAGCAATTCATCCGCGGACCAGACTGTTTCTGTTTATCCCAGTGTACTCTGCATCAACCCACTAACATCAGAGGGGTTCTCTGGATTTGGATCAGTGCACCAGAGCCTTCTCTAGCCCTAATGATAAGCAAGTGGCAACAGGTTACGAATAAGGTTTAAGGACTTAATCAGCACTTCACATAGTCAGCTATTTAAACGTGCACAAGCCAAGAAACTAGCCTCTTTCTCATAAATCACGCCCTCTCACACAGATACAGCCTAATATTAGTTATGTGGTTCCCAGAAATGTTTTTCATGAACTAGACATTTGTCTTTCACTTTACTATCTGTAACTCCCATAACAGTATGAACTTTTTTTTATGAAAATGCTTTTATCTGAAGAAACTCATGATCCCGAGACCTACTGGAAGGAGATCATTTACAAAGGATCCGGCAGAAGTACATGAAGCATCTCTCTCCCATCGTTCTCCCTGTCATGATGGCTAGCAGTTGAAGACTGGACAAGTATTTCCACAGGAAAATTATAGGGGTCGACGTCCATACGTGAGATGAAGTCTCTACTAGGCAACACATTACTTTCCTCACAGTATCTAGAGTGTCATAATAGAAAAAAATTATTCCACACAAATATTCGGTTTGTTCCAACTTTATTTTTGTAATCTGGGGAGGTGGCTTATAGCACGCTGTTGAATACTCTCTACCTCAACGCCAGCCTGACATTCTTCCCTATGTTTCCAAATCCTTCTCCACAGCTTTAATCGCTCTTCGTTATAGTTCATCTTAAGCCATGGAAATCCAGTAGAGACTAGCTCATTTTGCAGTGAGTGAGTTGCTTATGATTGAAAGTGGCCCTGAAACAGAACACTGGATCTAAATACACCCAACCTTTGAGACGTGTGTGAATGCTACCCCACTGAACAGCTCAGCCCTATTCTTATCTGCAATGTAATCCTTCACAAGACTTCCGAAACACAACAAAATTGCAGATGTGCATCTCTGATAAGAATTCTCCCTCCATAATACAGTAACCTGTAGCTAAATGCCAGCTAGGCATTTAGATTGTATTGATAGCTTTAGCCAAAACACCATATAAAGGAAAAGTTATCGGAGGTTATAGATGGTGGGTGGAAGAGAGCAGTGAGTCAGTCACCACGAGTAAAAGTGCTGAGCCCCTGAGAAGCACTGCTAACGTGTGAGAAAAAACAGCTCTCGCCCTCTCTGCAACAGCATTTCTGAAGACAGACAACTGAGTACTCAAGTGGCAAAACCCATACTCCTTGTTGCAACCTTGGGGGGCAGGAGCAGGGAAATTCCCAAGTTTTAATTTTTTTAACTAAAGAGCTGCCAGCAAGATTTTTTTAATGCGGAAGAGTCAGCGGCCTGGATCGCTCAGATCTATTCAATGGTCTTTCAACAATCTGAAGGAGAAATAATAAAAAATAACTTTTTAATACTGAATATTACAGGCAACAGTCTTAAAAGAACAATGGGGATCAACTATTTGGAACTTATCCTTTGCAACTGATGGGTAGACACTGTTCGGTGAGATACACAGTGATTTCCAAGACAGTCTCACGATATGTTTGAGTCTCCACCTTTCAGGTAAGAAGCACTCGCTGTTTATTATACACGCACTGGAAAAAACTTGGCTACAAGGGAGCTGAAGCCAGTAGAATCAAAGGCAAAAGACAAGCAATTTCATACTCAGAAACACAGATCAAGAACTGCTTTTCAAGGACTTCAAATCCTAATCTCACACACTTTGTGCACTTAGTCTCAGTGAAGCCGAACTGACTATACATAGATTTAGAAGGTTAAAGACATACAAAATGTTTTAAAGAGCCCCTTAAAAATTTAAAGGGGCAAGAGTAGCAATTTCAATGCATGCAGAAGTCGTTACTATAGAAGTGCCCTCAGAAATGCATTTATTTTGGTAAAAACCTCCTCACCAAAACAAATTTTTAAAAAATTAGTCTTTTAGTGGGGCCAAGTTACGTATGATTCACAATGACTTGTGAATAGGCTCCTTTATGCTTAAAGGGAGAAAAGGTGGTAGGAAACTTAGACTTGATAAACTCACCCTTCCCTAGCATGAGCATATGCAGGGCAAATTACATTACTTTGCCAAACTACAAGTAAATTCCCAAGAAACACGTGTGCACCAAGGAGAGCAGAGGAAGAAAAAAAAAAAAACCAAAACAGGTTTGAATGCAACAAAACATTTCTTGTCCTTATTTTCCATGTCTTTTTTCTTCCCTCTTTGTCCCCCTTTAAGACATTCCACTAGAACCAAAGCAATGGGCTAAATTTGGGGGAGCACATTAAAGCAGCAAGGAGGATGTACAAGGAACTATTTTATGCAAAGTAGACTCTCAGTCAAAGGGTGGGGGAAGACTTTTCCCAGAATGTCTTCTCCCAACATTCCTTTCACCCTTACAACACTGATCAATAGAATCAAAAGGTATTTGACTAATCAAAACGTCATTTCTAAGGAAATGAACTTGCCAGTAAACATTCAGTCACCTCTACCCCAGAGTATAATCTTCTGCAGCCTTTTTCCTTAAGAGAGGTCCTCTGCCTCACCTCCAGGAAGTCACAGCTAAGAACACCAAAGCCAGGCAGGACCAAGGAGCTGTCGTTACCTCTGTACCCTCCCTTTCCAGACAGACTTCCAAAGGAAAACCTGAGCTTCACTGAGTTCAGACAGGCCCAAAGGCAACTGCAAGCCATAACAGCCTGACAACAGCTATCAGCACCACAACACTACATCCAGAGCATTACCCTTACCCTATCCTGCTCCTCCCTTCAGTAACAAATAACACTGCCCTCTAAATTAAGGCATCCATGAGAGACGGTAGACAGGACTCTAAGCCCCTGTATCCCCCCTTCTAACTCCTTTTAAACCTCCTGCCATACATTTTGGTTGCATACAAAGGTTGCAGAGGAGGCTGAAAATTTTAATCTCGGGAGTTCAGACTGTACTCCTGCACAGGTTAGATGAGCAAGCACTAGAGAACACAACCAACAGTTGGTAAGGTCTGTTTGCTCTTTCACCAGTATTAGTAATATTTATTGCAACAGTACTCAAAGTCTTGAGTATTTCACAAGGTGGAGACCCTGCATGGCATATCACCGGGGATTTATCCTCCTGAAGTTAGAGCTGGGTCAGGTGACAGAACTGCTTGGATTGCAAGATATTTGGAGTGAGAGTTGTTCTTTTGTTTATACTTATACAGTTTATACTTATACAGCAGAATCTGACTGAAGTCTAAGGGAAGGCAGATGTGAGACACTGCCTTTCAACTACCATGCAGCAAGTCCTTGCACAACTCAACTCTTTGCCTTTTTATTTTTTTAAACATAG